TTAGCCAGCTAGCCCTGGTGATCATCTAATGTTTATTGGATGGATTTCCCCCCTAAATTGATTTTTGAATTCTGAATTTATTGTTATTCACGTTTTATACTGCATTTTACCGGTATGCTGTTTTTTGTTGCATCAATTAAGTGTTTTAAATTTGTTGTTAGCCACCCTGAGCCTGGTTTTCTGAACCGGGAAGGGCGGGGTATAAATAAAAATTTATTATTTTATTATTATTAATAATAAAAAACTTCCAAGTCCACCACCTCCCGAGGGAGTCTGTTCCACAGTTGAACAGCTCTTCCTGTCAGAAAGTTATTCCTGATGTTTAATCAGAATCTCCTTTCTTGTAACTTGAAGCCATTTGTTTGGGTCCTAGCCTTCCTTGTGACAGCCCTTTATATATTTGAAGATGGCTATCATATCTCCTCTCAGTCTCTTCTTTTCAGGCTAAACACACCCAACTCCCTCAACGGTTTTTCATAAGGCTTGGTTTCCATACCCTTGATCATCTTGGTTGCCTTCCTCTGCACAATATCCTTCTTAAACTGTGGGGCCCAGAACTGGACACAGTACTCCAGGTATGGCCTGACCAAAGCAGAACAGAGTGGGATTAGCTTTTTCCAAAAAAAAACAGCATTAGCCTTTTTGCTGCTGCATCACACTGTAGACTCATGTTAAGCTTGTTGACATGATAAGACCACTGGATCCTTTTCACATGTACTACTAACATGAAATTGAATAGCACCTGGAAAGCTCTGCTTTGCAGGGTGATATGTCCTCTCCCTGCTCTTTGAGTTCCTTTGGAGAAGGGATGGGATATAAATTTAATAAACAAATGAACCCCTCATAGTTTGTTCCCGCTCAACACAGTACACCACAGAACATTCTCACCTTTACTTTCCAACATTTTGTTTACACCACACAGTTTGTCTCTCACTGAACAAATGTGCGAAAGGCGTGATCTTTACCAACTATGATTCTATTATTCTTTAAATAGACACTTCCCTTTAACTTGCCATCACTGCCTGAAGAAAACCACAGGAGTGAGGAGCATCTAGTCTGTATAAACAAATAGCAAGCTGAGTTTTCTTCAGTACAGCTCCCCTTGACTGTCTCAAAATCCGAGAATCCAATGTTAGCAGAACATTAAGCAGCAGCTGAGACAACCCTCAAGCTATTTAGAGCATTTGCATTGTTCTGTGATCAAATCTCATGATCAAGCTATGATGTAACAATCTTTACGAGCTAAGTGGCCAGAATTAAAATCGTGTTTCATATTCTACCGAGCAGAAATCAGAATGGCTGGTGCGGATAAAATGCAACTGGACAAAGTCCGCCTAATTTATTTCCAGTTCTTGTTTTGCAACGGCTTTTCCCATAGTATTTTGCAAAATGGATGCCAACAGCCAGCTTAGACAAGACATGCACAACAATGCCAAACTGCTTCAGAGCCCTAGGAGCCACTCTTGCTATAAAAGCCCTCTACAAACTTTCAATTATTGTGTTTCCATTTGAACAAGACAGGAAATGAACTGTTCTACAGCTCTGTCTTGCAAAGGAAAGGACAGATTCAAATTCCATTAAACTCAGCGCTTGGTCTTTCAACTGATTTCAAAGGGATCAAGGCTTCACAAGGACAGTCAAGCAAATTGGATCAGAGGCGAGAGGGACAGGTCTATTTCCAAACTGTCTCGAGTGGCATTTACAGAAGATCTGGCTCTGTCTTCTAGGAATAGAAAGGGAAAGAGTGTTTACTTCCTACCCTCCAACATGTTTTAAGGTCCTGAGAGAAGCAAGCATTGTATGCTAAAGAGTGAGCAAAGCAACATTGCCTAAAAGCTTTCCAGTGCTAAGGAAGATCCCTTCTGCATCAAAGCTTTAGATGGTTCCTGTTTCCAGATATTAATAAGCACATCTCCAAAACACAAGGAAATTCCTGTTCTGTTTCTGATGGCTATTTTGACTCCAGGGAACAAGAGGAAGCTGCCTTGACGTTAGAAAGAGAGAGAAAACTGCTGCCGTTTTCAGAGTTATGTAACAAGCCTAATAGAGCAAACAAGGATCCCTGTCAAAAATGTGGATCATCGGTCCAAAAAGCTATGTGTATTTGACTTGTCTTTAAAAAACCTCGTTCGTACTGTTAAAAATACATGGAAGAATTTAAGGCCTCATCTCATGGGTCATGAATGCCAACAAAAAATTCTTTGAATGGGGCACAAAGGCCATTGCACAAGATGATCATGACAACTTGTGATGTGTCCATGTAACAAGCTGACCAGTCATCTCCATTGGGGCAGCTACATCATTTTAGACCCTGGACTTAATGGTCTTGCTGGGGTGGGGGGAGTGAGTGAGGGGGAGCGAAGCACACACTGTTTCATGATTTCCTATTGCTTCTACACTCCTTAAGAGTGTTACAGCAAAAACAATGGTTAGCTAACTCTTTTTTTTAAATAAAAAAAGAAATACTCTGAGCATGTGCCCAGTTGTAGGTCCAGAGTGTAGCCTGCCAAATGGTGAAATGTGGGGCAGCTCCATGGTCATCATGGCAGCCATGAAGCAACCCCAGAGCCAGTTGCCTTGGCATGGATGTTGACGTCCCCCAAAACCAGCAGTCTGGGAGTCCTCAACACCGTATCTTGAGACCAGCTCAATAAAAGAATGAAGTGATCTTCAATGAAGGTTCTTCATTGAAGAACCTTGAATGCTTTTTATAGTTCAATAAAGAAAATCTACACAGTCAGGGCCAGATTTAGGTTTGATGAGGCCCTAAGCTACTGAAGGTAATGGGGCCCTTTATATGTCCAGCTGTCCTTTGTCAACAACAAATTGTCGCTGTTTTTTGTGTTGAATATATTCTATATGGTAATTTATGGACCTAATAGGTATCTAAAACCTTTTGCACATGTTGCCATGCAACCAGTCCATCTATAAACAGACCCGTGTTGCAATATAGACAAGCTGAACAATATAACACAGCACGATGGCCAATAACAATGGCACTAAACACTATTATAGACTAATACAAATGATCAGAAATTACAACCCAAGTCTCTAAATCTTCTTCACCAGTCGCAGTAGAATAATTCAAAAGTTTGATATATACATAATCTGTCACCAAATATCGCCAGAACAGAGTTTCCAGATAACCAATCTGTTTCGTTCAATGCTTCATCAATTCTTCATCAGCCAAACTTGTAAGAATTAATATGAGAAGGGTGGAGTTCAATTTCTTAACAAGCCAATCTTACATGTAAGGTAATATAAATGCTGTAGAAAATATGCTCTGGATCACTGGTCATATGATACTGTAGTCACTGAAGCAACCAGTCCATGCAGAATGTAGGCACCCTATATATAGAAATGAGCAAATCAGTGATATTTTAGGGAGCAGGCTAGCAGGTGGGGCCCATAACTTACATCATGGGAGCCTACACAACACAAAACACTGTTGCTGTAGGTAGGTTTTATTTTATTTGCTTTTTTATCTTATATTTTGGAAATGTGCATCCATGGTTTTTCCCCCCTTAAAACTTTTTTGGGGCCCCCAAGAGAGTGGGGCCCTAAGCTATAGCTTGTTTAGCTTATACGTAAATCCAGCACCGTACACTGTGAACATCTTTGTTGTTCCCCTGCAGTAAGCACTGAATGGACCAGAGGCTTAGAGACAAACAACAACTGCTGACACAGCCTTTCGTTTGGGTGAGAGCTTTAGGTGCACGTGATGTGCTTTTCCAGGGAAACCACCTTTATACTCATTCATGGAGCTGTGAGACTTTTTTTCAGCGGCCTGGCAAATGCTGTGTCTACAGTGTGCTTCCATACGCATGGGGCAGATAACACTCATTTGTGGCAGGATCGTTTCCCCTTTGTTTTTAGCTGCATGCATCCTATTGCCTTTATGTGACATGAACTTCTTTTACACACCTGTGTGTGTGCTCATGCATGGGCTGAGCGCATATGCGCCTGCATTCCTGTGTGGTGTGCTGGAGTGACAGCTGTGGTCACACCCACTTCAGCCACGCCCACCTTTGCTTTGGCCACACCTTCTATGTGGGCATGTGCCCACTCTCGGAAGTTGGCTGTAAAGAAGAGCTCTCCGGCCGAAAAAGGTTGCCAACCCCCATATGAAGTAGGGCATATCAAATCCATCTGATCCAAACCCATCTTTATATGCTGTATCAAATGACATGTTCAAATCTCTGAATGTGCTACACAAATTCATGCTTCAAGAGGCATACCTGGTTGGGATGAAGGGTGCCCATTCTGCTCCAGAAGCCATTAACTATCACTGCAATCAGAAGCCTGTGTGAAGTTATTTTGTGAGGGCACATCAACTTTCACCTGTTTCTAGCCTGTTCCTCTGATTTCACATACTGTGTGCTTTCATTTGCTTGTTCTGCTGTGCTCAAAGCCTGTCTCTCTACCCCACACTGGTACAGGTGTTGTGAAGCACCTCATGTGAGACACGCTTCGTAGAATCATAGAGTTCGAAGGGACCACAAGAGTCATCTAACTTAACCCCTTGCAATGCAGGAATCTGAGCTATTCCAGATCTTTCACAGCATCAGGCTGCAGATTCTGCAGCAGGCCCATTTGTCTTCTCCGAAGGAAGTTCTACTTCATTCTCATGGTATTAACATATATATTTTTGCTAATTTCCCCCTGTTTGAATATGGATTGATGGTTTTGATTACAGTGGTACCTCGGGTTAAGAACTTAATTCGTTCCAGAGGTCTGTTCTTAACCTGAAACTGTTCTTAACCTGAGATACCACTTTAGCTAATGGGGCCTCCTGCTGCTGTCGCGCCACCAAGCATTTTCTGTTCTCATCCTGAAGCAAAGTTCTTAACCCAAGGTACTATTTCTGGGTTAGCAGAGTCTGTAACCTGAAGCATCTGTAACCCGAGGTACCACTGTATATCATTTTTAGCAAAACACTCCTGAGTGCCATTAGATGTGGGAGTGCATTATATAGAGAAAACCATCCCTTGCTGCACTTGTATGTATGTTTGATTGTTTATTATTATTATTATTTACAATTATTACATTCACTGTGCTAAAGAGAGGATGAGATTTATCCTCCTGCAATACAGACCCCTCCTGGCACTAGAATAGCAGCAATGAGCATAATACAATCCAGGTATTTGCAGAGTGTTCGGTGGTCTCCCCCTCATTATTTGCACCTCAGTTCCTCGACACTCTGGGCAACGCCGCTTGGCAGCAAGAAGCCCAAAGGTTCTGGTTTTATATGCATTGACAGTTGCAACCCCAGTGTTGCCATAGGTGGTGGCTGAGAGAGCTGTCCTTTTTGCAGGCTTTTTTCCTGCTGCCTGCCGGCCTGTTGCTGCATCTCAATATCGCTCTCAGTGGAAACAGCTATGCTTGGCGTTTTCTGCCTCAGACTAGATGCAGCTTTTCTTCTGTCCTGGGCCTGCTTCTGGGCTGCCTGGAGAGCAGGGAGGAAATGTCACAAAAGGTAAACATCCATATCTAGAAAGCCTGCCTAATTTCATTCTCTCTCACACACACACCGCTATAATTCACGGGCATTCAATGAAGCCAAAATTTGGGCAGATGGAGGACATATAAAAGGCTACATTGCTTCACACAGAGTGCAGTTCAGCTGTGGAACTCACTGCCACAAGAGGCAGTGGTAGCCACCAACTTGGAAGGATTTAAAAGAGGAACAGACACATTCATGGAGGAAATGGCTACCAACCAGCCACAATGCTTGTTCCTCTTCCTCCACAGCTGGAGGCAGTAGTGCTTCTGAATGGAAACCACAGGTAGAGGAAGTTCTCATGTGCTCAGTTCTGGCTTGCCAGCTTCCTATAAGGCCACTGTGAGAACAGGAAGCTGGACTAGATGAGCCTCTGGCACGATGCAGAGGGCTCTCCATATGTCCTTATTTACGTGACCCATGAAGGCTGCAGGGGGACGCGGGTGGTGCTGTGGGTTAAACCACAGAGCCTAGGACTTGCCGATCAGAAGGTCGGTGGTTCTAATCCCCGAGACGGGGTGAGCTCCCATTGTTCGGCCCCTGCTCCTGCCAACCTAGCAGTTCGAAAGCACGTCAAAGTGCAAGTAGATAAATAGGTACCACTCCAGCGGGAAGGTAAATGGCGTTTCCATGCACTGCTCTGGTTCGCCAGAAGTGGCTTAGTCATGCTGGCCACATGACCCAGAAGCTGTATGCCGGCTCCCTCAGCCAATAAAGCGAGATGAGCGTTGCAACTCCAGAGTCGGCCACGACTGGACCTAATGGTCAGGGGTCCCTTTACCTTTACCTTTATGAAGGCTGCAGGTGTGTTCCTGGAGCACGTTCCTCAGTTCTTCTCAGTGGAGGCTGGTCCATTAGGACAAGTTGGGTGAGTCAATTAGGGTCAGTCTGTCCTCAGTCAGCCCCCATCCACTGTCTTCTTACTTAGAACCAATCAGGAGGTGGCACTGCCTGTCATTGGCTCTGACTCTACCTACTGCTGATCTACCGGCCTTCCGCCTGAACAGTCCCAAGGACAACTAGCCACCACAACAACTTCTATCCCAACTTTCCTTCAGTTCTTCCCCTGATGTGGGGAACCTGTGGCTCTCTGTGTCTTGAATGGAACTGGTGGGAGTTGTCTAAATATTCTCTGTACTTTATACCATAAGAGTTCCTTAGAGGGGAATAAACTGTTTTAAAACTGGGTTGCTAGATTTCCTGAAGGCAACTTACCTCTTTCAACCACAGCTGGCTTAGCGTTTCTTCTACACGTTCCAGAAAGGCACTGTGTGCAGCTCGTTGGCTTCTGTGCCTCTGAAGACAAAATCATTAAAACAATATAAGAAAACTACTGACGGGCATGGTTTTAACCAAAAGGGGATTCACAGATATCAAACATCTTAAAACAAAAGGGCCTTGCTCTGCAGCTAGGCTTTATAACATAAGCATAGCCTGAAGGGAAGATACATAACATTTACTGGCAAAAAGGGCTTTAGCTGCAATAATTGAATACCCATCCAAATTGAATATCATACAGACACCCATTTACTAGTGAGGATATGTACTCAGCCTGTTTCAAGTGTTTTTAATGCTAGTGCTTCACAGTTGCCAAATATGATAAGAGCCTGTCAAAAAACTTTCCCCAGCAGGCCTCTCTCCTCACATATCTGTGGTTGCCTGTGAGGAGCGCTGGCCTCAGCAGATATACGGTAAGCCTAATAATAATAATAATAGTTGTTTTATTATTTATACCCTGCCCATCTTGCTGGGATTCCCCAGCCACTCTGGGTGGCTTGCAGCATATCTAAAAACATAATAAAAACATCAATCATTAAAAACCTCCCAATACAGGACTGCCTTCTGATGTCTTCTACAAGTTGCTAAATTCTTTATCTCCTTGACATCTGAGGGGAGGGTGTTCCACAGGGAGGGCGCCACTACTGAGAAGACCCTCTGCCTGGTTCCCTGTAACTTCACTTCTTGCAGTGAGGGAAGACCCTTAGAGGAGGACCTCAGTGTCCTGGCTGAGTGATGGGGGTGTAGATGCTCCTTCAGGCAGTCAGTACATGGCTGACATGAAAATGCAAAGGGGTTTGGGGAGAGTAGGTGCGAGCAAACTAGTTTTACACCATCCCTGTCATCCTCCATTTGCCTGGGAATAAGCCCCACTGAATTCACAGGGTTTACATCAGAGCAGACATGGTTCGTACTGGGGTGTTAGCAATCCATTTATGTAACGGTGGTGGCATGTTTGTGTTTTGGCGCTATTTTTCCTGCAGTTTCTTGGCAAAGCCGAAGTTCCTGAAAGCCTCCATGATGTGTGCTTCGTTTCAAGCGATTGAAGTCCCTTCAACAACAACAGGAAGCACCTCATCCAATCATCCATACAGAGGACTGGCAAGATTTGTACTGTGATATGATTTCGCACAATGCCTAAAAATATGCCATGTGTTTTTTAAATTTAAAAAATCAAGCTGAACACAGAAGAACAAAAAGAGAGAGGAAGAAATAAAATAACAGAAAGCATAGGCTGGGGGCAGCAGTAAACATCTGAACTTACAGGAGGGACAGGATAATGTACAGGGCACCTAACCAGCAGCGAATCATGGTGGGTCAGAGGGGCCCACTCTGAATCACACTAGGCCAGGTGTAGGCAAACTTGGCCCTCCAGATGTTTTGAGACTACAACTCCCATGATCCCTAGCTAACAGGACCAGTGGTCAGGGATGATGGGAACTGTAGTCCCAAAACATCTGGAGGGCCGAGTTTGCCTATGCCTGCACTAGGCAGATGCAGAGCCTAGGACAGGGGTCTGCAACCCGCGGCTCCAGAGCCGCATGTGGCTCTTTTACACCTTTGCCGCGGCTCCGGGGCGGATACTAGCGAGGGGAGGTGGCGCATTGTGCGCCCCGACACTCCCCACTGTGGCGGGCGCTGTACTGGCTGTGACATTGCATGGGGGTGGTGCGTGCGTTAGTCACGCACCGTCCCGACGTCACCTTCCTGCCCACTGTCAGATCGGACATTAAGGTAAGAAACAATATATGCAGTGTTATATTTGTTTTAAATGTCGCAATGGTTTTGCGGCTCCCAGGTTTTTTTTCTTCGAAAATGGGTCCAAGTGGCTCTTTTTGTCTTAAAGGTTGCAGACCCCTGGCCTAGGAGACTCCAGAAGGCAGCCCTTGCAATTTCCTCCCTAGGGGAGGGAGGAGAACAGCAGCACCTCCTATTAGCCAAGAAAGATCACTATAGAGTTGGCATGGGGGGTGCTACCAAGAAGGCAGCAGACCCAGCTTCCAAGGAGCACACCGCAGTGGGCAATGCATGCCTTGGAGGCCAGATCTGTTGCCCCTGTGAATTCTGCCACCCAAGGCAGTCACCTCCCCTTGCCTCATAGGTGGGCTGGCTCTGCTTTGCAAGAAAAATATATCTGCCCATTATTTTCTATGTAGCTCTAAAAAGTTGCTAAACCAGGTTCTGCATCAGAAAGTTGGGTTCTGTGCTGCCCAGCAAATGCTGGCACATGAATACATGCATCTTTGATTATACCTACTTTGTGTAGCATCTAAACAAAGCAGGAACAAATTCAAGCATTCACCATAAACGACATAATCTTAGTCTGTTATTCTCTAAAGTGACTAAAAATTCTTAACTGATATCTTCATAGCTACGATCCAAAACTTTGCATGTGCATACGGGCATCCTCACCCAATGTCAGGGAGGTCCCCCATTCTATATGGGGCATCAATGGGGAACCTGTGGTCATCTAGAGATTTTTGGATTCCATCAGTCCTGGCCAGCATGGCCAAAGTTCAGGAATTATGGGAATTGTAGTCTGGAAACATCTGAAGGGTCAAAGGTTCCTTATCCCCAATACAGCATATCTATATCAGGGAATCAGATGGAAGCCTTACTGGTTACAATGGAATTTTCTTCCACATGTATTAGCGCTTATAATTTAAGAGCATTTGCAGCTCAAGTGATATCAAACAGTAGGCAAGATTCTACATATGCTATTACACTATTTGCCAACATGCATTTGAATCTCCAAGACTAGCTCAGGAAAATTACGCCTCCCACATTCTGAAATGGCTCTGGCTTGTTTCCGTTTAAAACAACACAAGAGTCATTCATGCCTCATTAGGAAAAGTCTATAATTTGTCAGAAAGCCCAAGTCGCTTCTGATCCCTGGAAAACTGGGTGAATCTGTTCCTTTCAGCCTGCAATGTACCCAATGTACCCAAGGTTCTACAGTATATTTTTTGCTTTTTCTAAAAAAAAATATTTTTTTTACAAAGTATCCCCATATCTGATGGCGTAAAGCAACACAGTGTCGTTCATGGCATTTTGCAAGAGAAACAGTTACAGTTTTCAAACAAAACTATAAATAGCAGCAGGCCTACAAATATGAGGCCTGTGAGAACCTGTTTATGAGACAGACATTTAAAAAAACAACCCACAGCCTGTCTTCTAATTATATCACCTTAGGTTAGAATCTGGCTAGCTATCAGCTTTGCAAAAACTTCCAAGTACTCCAGCAAAGCAATGCCCTTATTTTATTTTACTTTTTAAAAAGAACAACCATTCAGAACACCCACAGATTTCTATTCCAAATATGAGTTCAGTGGAAGAAGATGCGAAGAAGGGAAGGGAATTATGGAGTGTTGTACTAACTGTGAAGGAAACAGGTTTAGTAGGCCAAGGCTCCTTTGGCAGAAGTAACTTCGAATCCCACTTGAGTTCTTGAGGCTTGTAGCAGGTGGTGAATCTTTCCTTGGATCGGGGTCCCCCCTTTTCTTCTGTGAGAGGATGGAGTCCGTGGACTGAAAAGGGACAGCAAACAAAAGGCAGTTTGGGCTCAGAATCCGTATTGTGCATTGCTGCTGACAGGGAAAGGATTTGAAAGTGCATGCAGCACAATCCTATGGTGTTTACTTGGGAGTAAGTCCCACAAGAGCCAGTGGGACTAATAGAATTGCAGCCAAAGCAACTAATGAGTTTTAGGCAGCCACACCGGTCTGGCTGCCCTGGGCACCAGTACCCACAAGGGGTGCCACAACAGCTATGCAGAAGGGAGCATGAGACGTGGGGTTTGTGTGTGCCAATTTTTAGCATTGCACAGGGTGACACAAAAATTTGAGAGCCCAATGTCTGCCACTATAACTATTACTAGATTTTGGGAAGATTTATTAAAGGGTGTGATGTTGGATTACTGGTGTGAAAGTGCCTGGAGATTACCTTTAGTATAAAAACGTACATATAAATTTAAAGTAACTAGGGGACAGCCAGGGGCCTTCTCTGTATTCTAGTCAGTGCCTGGTAAAACAGTTTCATTTAGGCAAGCCTACCAAGATAGGTAGAACATCAATATAGGTTTTATTCTGGGGTGGGTTGTTGTTTTTTGCTTATTGGTGGGTTCCCCCCCCAAAAAAAAATATTTTGAATAGTTGTTCTTAACTTTTTTTTTTACTGATAATTCCATTGTTTTACTCATTTTGCAAACCACATTAAAATTATTTGCTTTTATACTCAAGTGCCATGCATATCTTAATAAATAAAGGATCAGCGGCCAGAGTTGCACCAGTCACATCATACACCTGTGCCTCTTGCTGTATCCCATTTACCTAACAGGTGGACACATATTCGCATGAAGTTTTGTAAATGCAACAGCAGGTGTTCGGCCTTCTGCCGAGTTTGCTGCTCCATAGATCACAACCAGTTAGCGTAGATGTTCAGTTCTGAACGCGTCTATCAGTGCCACTTACACATTCTCCAGAGCACCTAGTACACTGCTAAATGGCAGCAGCATGGTCAAATATGGCAAGGAAAATTCAACTGGGGTATATGAACAAAAGAGGAAGATTTGGACTGCCCTAGTCAAGCTTCACAATCACCTGCTTGTAATGATATGTTGACTTTTGAGTGTTATAAACAGTCAAATGAGAATCTTAGCATTAATGTTTTGTGTTATAAATATGCCAGAAACTAACCTTTAATACTATTGTTCCCTAAAGGAAATAATGGCTGTTGTGAGGGCCAACTACTTAATATGTCTGCTTAATGAAGATTAATACTATCAGAGTTTAACAATAACAACAACAACAATAATTTGTTGTTGTTGTTGCTACCTCACCCATCTGGCTGGGTTTCCCCAGCCACTCTGGGCAGCTCCCAAGAGAATATTAAAAACACAATAAAACATCTAACATTAAAAACTTCCCTAAACAGGGCTGCCTTCAGATGTCTTCTAAACATCAGGTAGTTGTTTATTTCTTTGATATCTGATGGGAGGGCGTTCCACAGGGTGGGCACCACTACCGAGAAGGCCCTCTGCCTGGTTCCCTGTAACTTTGCTTCTCACAGTGAGGGATCTGCCAGAAGGCCCTTGGCGCTGGACCTCAGTGAATGATGGGGGTGGAGATGCTCCTTCACGTATACAGGACCGAGGCCGCTTAGGGCTTTAAGGTCAGCACCAACACTTTGAATTGTGCTCGGAAACATACTGGGAGCCAATTGCAACCCTCTTTAACTTCCTGGATAGGTCAGCGGGGAGTTGTACTACATGATCCTCAGGGTCCCTTCCAACTCCATGAGTCTACGATTCTATTATTTATTACAGGGATGAGGAGCCCTTTTCAGCTTATGGGGGCCACATTGTCTTGTGGGCAACCTTCTGAGGGCTGCAGGCCTGTGGGAGGCAGGGCCAGCAGCAAATGTTGGTAGAGCAGCAGACATTAATGTTACCTTTCTAGAATCAGAGAATTTTAGAGTTGGAAGAGACCCTGAGGATCATCTGGTCCAACCTCCTGCAATGCAGGAATAGGCAGCTGTCTCATGTGGGGATCGAACCTGCAACCTTGGCATTATCAGCACCGTGCTCTAACCAACTGAGCTATCCAGCGCAATTATACCGTAGGCCGCTAGACAGTATATAGCATATCCACTCATACACCCCTATCTATCCTCCACCCAAGTAAGTAAGAAGCATTATCAGATTTCAAGGACATATTTCAGCCAAGGAAGGAGGGTGCAAGCAGGAACAGGAGGAGGAAGCGCGGCCTGGAGAGAGTCTTGAGAGCCACATCCCACACCACACCCCACGCCCAGCACAACACAACACAAACTTCCCAATCCAAAATATTACTGAGAGAACATGATGTTCAATGTTCCTCTGATGCACGAAACGGGTGTCATACCGACTTCTGAAGATCAGCGAGGACTTACCTTTGCTTAAACACTGGGATTTCAACTTTAGATTCAGAGGGTCTCTGGCATAGCTGGTCACAAAATTTGGTCTATCTGGCTCATACTGCACAGGGAAAAACATGAAGAGGGAACACCTGGATTTGCTGGCAAACAACTTGGGAGCAATGCTTTGGCGCTTGTCATTCTTACTGCCCATTCACAGTGACTTCCTTGTGGATATAGCAAACAGGGTTATTTTATTTTATTTTGCCATGCTTCTATTTTTTTTAGGTTTGTCGAGCTTTTTTTAACCTCCTGCTGTGGCACTGTACTTTTAAAGCAAAGGCTATACAGATAGATATATACCACACATTTAAAACACACGACTTCCCCCCCCAAAGAATTCTGGGAACTGTAGTTTATCTTTCACATTATGACAATTCCCAGCATACTCACAAGCTACAGCTCCCAGGATTCTTTGGGTGGGAAGGCATGTGTTTTAAATATACAGTGTGTACATAGCTTTAATAAGTGAGCCGTTCTACATTTCTTTCATGCTGCTGTTTTTAATGGATTTATATCCCATATTTTGCTTTATTTATTTACATTACTAGGGTGGGTTTTGGGGGTGTGTTTTTTTTTTTGGTATTGTTGGTTTCAGTCTCTAGGCAACACCGGGGTCCTTTTATGGCACTACAGTGGTACCTTGGTTTAAGAACACCTTAGTTTATGAACAACTTGGATTAAGAACGCTGCAAATCCGGAAGCAGGTGTTTTGGTTTGTGAACTTTGCCTTGGAAGCAGAACATGTTCTGTTTCCTGTTGAGTGTGTTCCATTTGTAAACTGAGTCCCCTGCTGCTATGGGAAAGCACACCTTGCTTTAAGAACGCTTTGGTTTAAGAACGGACTTCCGGAATGGATTAGGTTCGTAAACCAAGGTACCACTGTAGTCTTCAACTAGTGGGTGACAGCCTGATTCAAGGTGGGTGGCAACAAGAGCACTGCAGATATGTGGTAAAAGACTAAGAAATGGGTCTCCAAATGGGGAACATTTTATCACATGTGGTGGGAATGTAAAAAGGTGAAATGCTTCTGGGAGATGATATATAATGAATTGGAAAAAAATGTTGAAATATACATTTATAAAGAAACCAGAAGCATTTCTCTTGGGTATTGTTGGAAACGATATAAATAAAAAGGAATGTAAGCTTTTTTTATATGCAGTAACAGCAGCAAGAATACTATTACCCAAAAATGGAAACAAGAAGAATTACCAACGATGGAAGAATGGAGGATGAAATTAATGGACTATGCAGAACTTGATAAACTAACAGGAAGGATCCAAAACCGGCGGGACCAGAAGTTTACCGAGGACTGGAGTAAATTTACGGCTTATTTGAAAAGTATTTGCGATGACCAGACAATGTTTGGAGGTTTGCAAGAAGCTCTGTGAGGAATAATATTAGAAATATTGCAAAAATGAAGAAGGAGATGGGATATGTTAAAAACATAAAGGCAATATTAAGTTAGGAAATGCGTAAGAAGTGAGTAAGACGGAGGATTATCAGAGGTGCTGATGGAAGTCCAATAAGAATGTATTTGTGATAAATTGTGTGGCATGTTTTATAATTTTGTATTTTAAAACTAATAAAAATATATACAAAAAGAAAGAAAGAAAGAAATGGGTCTCCAAATGCATGTTTGGGTTAAAAGTGGGTCATGGGTCTGAGAAGGTTGAGATTCTCTAAAAGAAATAAACAAACAAGAAGTGATCCTGGAACCGGACAGAGCTCATTTCTTGCCACATACTGAGTTGTTAAACTACTCAGCTAACATCAATAAAACTGATTTGTAAACTTCTAAGGCTCTCAAAAGACAACAGAAGACACGCAGCTGTCGTTAATAATATACAGTCGCTTCCTGGTTTAAGGCAGGAATAAGTTATCCAGTAAGTTTAGTAAGGAAATGCTAATCTTAGCTTTTCAAAGCACCTCAGATAATCATCTCTGTATACACATTCTTAACCAGTTCTGCTAGTAAACACCTGCCCTTTGTTAATATCATAAGGTTCACATGTGACTGCATAAGCAGCGCTGTCTTTCAATGAAAAAAAAAAACCTTTTAAGTCAGGTCTGAGGACCCATTTCTGCTGACCAATGGGGCCACATTTTCTTTTAAGCAACCTGCTGCATGCTAGTGGTACATGAGATGAGAGGGGAAAGTAGGAGAGCAACAAATCTAAAGTTTACCTTTGTATGGTAGGCTACTTCCTACACGTATTCATGCACCCTTCTCTGTCCTTCATTGAAGTAAGGGCTGAAGAACATATTCCAGCCAGCCAGAAACACTCATAGGGACATAGGAAGCTGCCTTCTGTTGAGGAAGACTGTTGGTCCATCTAGCTCAGAACTGCCCTACACCTCTGCATCCTCCAGGCAAAACACTCAAGAAGGGTGCAGATCCAGTGAGGGGTTTGGCCTGGGAAGGGGCGAAGCCTAGGAAGAGTCCTGAGGACCAGGTGGAAAGGCCTCCTGTCTTGGCTGCAACCTTAAATGTTCGGTGCGATAAAAGTAATGATATTGGGTTTTTTTTAATACCACAGGGAGGGTTAACCTGTTAATTTGTGTTGTGGTTGAATGGAGAAAAACAATGAAATGCATTAGAAATGGCTGTATTGGACATGAGATAAAGGTAAAGGGACCCCTGACCATTAGGTCCAGTTGTGGCCGACTCTGGGGTTGCGGTGCTCATCTCACTTTATTGGCCGAGGGAGCCGGCATACAGCTTCCGGGTCATGTGGCCAGCATGACTAAGCTGCTTCTGGTGAACCAGAACAGCGCACGGAAACGCCATTTACCTTCCTGCCGGAGTGGTACCTATTTATCTACTTGCACTTTGACATGCTTTCGAACTGCTAGGTTGGCAGGAGCAGGGACCGAGAAGCGGGAGCTCACCCTGTTGCAGGGATTCGAACCACCGACCTTCTGATCAGCAAGTCCTAGGCTCTGTGGTTTAACCCATAGAGCCACCCGTGTCCCCAGAAATGGCTGTATTGGACATTAATGTGCCTCTATAAAATAATTTAAGTCTCATGAAAAAATCCAGTCACCAACAGAGTACCATGATTGAAGATGAAGATCTTAATGTTTAAAAAGTTTCTGAAGAGCCCTGAGGCTTCAAAGACATTTTTCAAAGGCTAATATAACCACATAACCCAACTACACTATAAGGAAAAGATAAATGTGATCCACATCACTGAATTCATTTGACCAAAGCATTTGTTGCAATAGTGCCATCTTGTGGAGACACTAAATTCTATTGCTTGTGTTGTTTCTTGGTGTGTGTGTACTTTATAGACCAGGCATAGGCAAACTCCGGCCCTCCAGATGTTTTGAGACTATAATTCCCATCATCCCTGACCACTGGTCCTGTTAGCTAGGGATGATGGGAATTGTAGTTCCAAAACATCTGGAGGGCCGGAGTTTGCTTATGCCTGTTATAGACACACCAAACAGAAATGATATAGCTTCTGTGTTATATAGGTAGGGATAGGCGAAACTGTCAATTTAGGGTTCTCTCATTTTCTCATTTTTCTAAAATTTATTTTGGTTCTTCACATTAGTTTATTTTTTTTAAGTCCTCATGAAAATTCATCAGCATTGTAGCATACAATTTTGCCCAATACTGACATTTTTGCAAAGCAGTATTCCTGTTGTATGTTATTGGCCTTCATGCTTTTGTATGCATGCTTTCCTGTAGTACATGCATTTTTTTACATATTCCTTGGCCGGAGAAGCACACTGCAAAATTTGGAGAAATGCAAAATTTGGAGAAATGCAAATTTCAAAGGATGGCTGTGTTTTTATTCATGTATTATTTCGGGAAGTGTGAATTAGGTAGGTTCACCTTTCAAGGAGAATGGAATCAAGCCCCCCCCCCCAATCCCTATGTGTAAAGGCAGAAGGATAACTAAGCTTTAATGGTAGATTTCTAGGTGAGTTGAGTTAGATTGCAAGGGTTTCTGATGTCTGGCTCCTTAAGAAAAGCATCAAATGAAAACATGTGCCTCTCTCACTGCTGAAATGAAGAAAACTTGTGGGGGGTCAGGCCAGGATTGAATTTCTGTGAGAAGCCCACCCTGGTGATAAAAGCAAATTACTGGGCCAAGCATGTTCTCAGAAGTACCCTTTAGCCTTTTTCAATTCTATATTTACATCTGTCTGACTGAGCCACTGTGTAAACACTTGGCTCCAACTTGTAGATCTTAGAACTCCAGTGGTACCTCGGAAGTGAAATGTTTGGAAACCAAGGCGCGGCTTCTGATTGGCTGCAGGAAGCTCCTGCAGCCAATCGGAAGCCGCGGAAGCTGCATCGGACGTTTGGGTTCCAAAGAACCTTCGCCAACCAGAACACTCACTTCTGGGTTTGCGGCATTCGGGAGCCAAAACGTTCAACTCGCAAGGTGTTTGCGAACCAAGGTACGACCGTATAGTTAAAACAAATAAAGAAATAAACCACCCCAAATAGTCCGTCTTGGCTGGTTGTTGTTGTTTGCAGGTTATTCTGCAACATGCCATTGACACAACAATAATGCATTTGTGGTAGATTTATGCTGTGGACCATCCACAGGTCATTTTGCTTTATGAGTTGCTCTGTGAAGCTTCCCTGGTGTTAGTTACTATTGCTGTCTGGAGGGACAGTCTTGCGCTGCAGCACAATGAAAGCAGGAAAACAATCAAACAAACCCGGAACATTTGTAGTATGAAAAGTTAAATGTTTTAAGCAAGAAGTCATGGGACATGCATTGACTGGAAACAAAGCAGTATGTCCACCCCAAAACTGTGTAAACGGTATTGAAAGTGAGATTGTGCACAAATGTCCCAAGACATCTGGGGCAGAACAAAGTAGATTCCAGAAGCCTTGTAGTCTACCCACACCTGGTGCAGCGCATTGCCTCAATCCCCCTCCACACAAAGGCCACCCTTTTCCAGTTGCCTCCATCTCAATTCAGCCTTCCCTTTACCTGTCTATAGTCGAATGGTTTTGGATCTTGGTATTTGCTGCTCTTGAACTTTCCCATCTTCACGAACATTAGCTGGGCTTCGTAGGGACCCATGTGGGGAAACCTTGTAATGATCTTGGGCTCCTGTTCGCGTTCCACGATGGAGAAAAATAAATTGGACCTTATCCTCTGCAACTCTTCCTGCACCGTGCTTGGGGGCAATTTCTTTTTCAGCTCTTTCGACTTTCCTCGCGGCTTCCTGAGAAGGCCTCGGGTGATATAAAGCCTGTAGCTGAAATCGGGCGGTTGTTTTAGGCAGCTATCCTTTTCCAGAGGGGCTGTGAGTGGCTGAGACTCATTGACTCGATCTCGTTGTAAGGCTAACTCCAGGTTCGTAGCAAATCTCCCCTTCAAATCGAAAGTACACTTCGATTGGTTCCCAGCATGGATATTGGGGAACATTCTGCATTCGCCGCTCTATGCCTAAAGAAGGTAAAGAGGTAAAGAGGAAGAGGAATAAGAAGAAAGATTTTGATTATTACTGATTTATCATACAAATTTATTTTTAATACAATTCTGCAGAAAACAGCTGTTTAAAAACAACAGCAACAACCCATGAAAATAAGCCCGCTTTATCGCTTCCTTTGGGCTGACAGAAGAAGTCACCCTCGAAAAAAACTGGCTAGGTCTGGATTGAGACACATCAAAAAAGTGTTTCAGTTAAACACGTTGTAAATTTCATAAAGTGAAATCGTGTTTGCGAAAGATGGGACTCCACAGCGCCATCTGGTGTCACAGTGTTATAATGCATATAAAGCGCTTTTTCATTCCAAATGTAGCTGATTATAGTGGTACCTCGGGTTCCGGAGGTCCTTTCTTAACCTGAAACTGTTCTTAACCTGAAGCACCACTTTAGCTAATGGGGCCTCCTGCTGCCGCTGCGCTGCCAGAGCACGATTTCTGTTCTCATCCTGAAGCAAAGTTCTTGACCCAAGGTACTATTTCTGGGTTAGCGGAGTCTGTAACCTGAAGCTTCTGTAACCTGAAGCGTATGTAACCCAAGGTATCACTGTACTAAGCTGTGCTCAGGCAATGAGCAAATTGAAATTGGGGTTGTGGCAACACATGGTACCCAGCAAAACATCACCACATAATAATAATAATAATAATAATAATAATAATAATAATAATAATAATAATTTATTATTTATACCCCGCCCATCTGGCTGGGTTTCCCCAGCCACTCTGGGCGGCTTCCAAAAGATTTCCCCCCACCCAACAAGAATGCAAAACAAAACAAAAAAAGTTCCTTCCCTGAAGGAAGAATGCAATCAATAGCTAGCTTGTATTCCCATATGCAGATATATTCGCAGCCAGACATTTATGCCTTTATAGAAGTATATCTGTACTGCCAAGATATCAAGGCGGTGTACATGGTTAGAACACTGTTAAAAGTTAATATTTAAGGTGACCGGCTAAGCAAAAATAGAAAACTAGACAACTGCAAAGGCCTGTCAGCTAAAGAAGTCTGCAAGGGACACCTGAAAGTCCATAGCAAGGATGCTTACTGAATCTCTCTTGGAAGGTGTTCCAAAGCATGGATCAGCGACACTCAATGTCCAGCCTGCAGTTTATCCAGGAGGGCCTCTGCTACAGGGAGGAGTGGGAGGCGGGTAGAATTAACTGCACTCCTCCAGATGATCACAGTGTTTGAGCTTTATCTTAAGCTATCCTGGACTTACGTTGTTCTGGGATTTGTATATCAGCCCAGGAACCCTGAACCTGGCATGGAGTAGTACAAACTTGCATTTTTTAGGAATTGTGGTGAGAACTTTTGAAATCTCCTCTGGCCATATACACAGTTCTCCCCGATACCATCACAATTCTGTTAAGTGTTGCCCTAATTATTAATAACAGTAAAACTGCAACCCTCATAAAGGAGGCAGAGCTGAAGAAGCAAGGAGATTCTACTCACCCTCTCTAAAGCCAAGTCCTTTCCCAAGTGTTTCATGCCGGATCACATTTTTCCCTTTGCAGCCCTGGTTAGAGCAAAGCAAGCACACACACAGAGAGAGGAGAGTCTCATAACAGCAATGTTTGTTCTGGGAGATGTTTGTGCTCTTCTTTTTTTCTTTCTTTTTTGTTATACAAAGAGGTTTGAATGCATAAATGTATTCAACCCATCTGGGTTGCTAAGAAACAGGACAATTCTTGCCTCAGGACGTCATTCAAAATTCAAAAAAGAGGGGAAAAAACAACCCTGAAAAGAGTGCCTCTCTTGGCTGTATAAAATGAGCTTGAAACCTAGCAACAAGCTACACCAGTTCAAGGCTATTTTTTCAAATGCTAGGAAACAGAAAAGTTCACTGAGGGAAATGAAACTGAGGGAAAACGAACAAGATGAAACAGGCCATTGAGAGAGAACCGGCATAAAGACAGTCTTTTTATTCCTGTTCTTATAGGACAAGCTCTCTCCCATATAACAGACTCTCCGAGTGTCACTATTTTCCAGGGACAATCCCGGATTTACAGAAGCCATCCCAGTTTCTGAATGTCCCACTTTTCCTTAGGACATCCCTATTTACATTGGATAAATGTTGGAGGTTATGCAGTTATCCGTTAAAATCTGAAGGCAGCCCCATATAGGGAAGTTATTTAATGTTTGATGTTTATATAATATATGTGTTGGAAGCTGCCCAGAGTGACTGGGACAATCCAGTCAGATAGGCAGGGTACAAATAGTAAAATTATTATTATGGAATAGGACGTCCTATTTCAGATCAGGGACGCGGGTGGCGCTGTGGGTAAAACCTCAGCGCCTAGGACTTGCCGATCGCATGGTCGGTGGTTCGAATCCCCATGGCGGGGTGTGCTCCTGTTGCTTGGTCCCAGCGCCTGCCAACCTAGCAGTTCGAAAGCACCCCCAGGTGCAAGTAGATAAATAGGGACCGCTTACTAGCGGGAAGGTAAACGGCGTTTCTGTGTGCGGCTCTGGCTCGCCAGAGCAGCGATCGTCACGCTGGCCACGTGACCCGGAAGTGTCTGCGGACAGCGCTGGCCCCCGGCCTATAGAGTGAGATGAGCGCACAACCATAGAGTCTGGCAAGGGGTACCTTTACCTTTACCTATTTCATCAGAAAATTTTGGAGGGTATGGTATACCTTTTGCCAAGTTAGTTCCTTTGTACTGTGGCCAATGGATCCAGTTTTAAAATATGGGAAACTAGTCCTGACCCTGGAAACAGCAGATAGAAAAGGGCCAGTACTGTTGGGAGTAGCAACACTTGCAGTAACTTATCTGAACCAGCAGAAGGCAATAAACAAGAAGGCAACCTTTTCTTCCCTCACTGATCAAGCAATTAACTACCTGTAGATTTGTTTTCTCTCAAGCTTTACAGTACTTCCTTTCTCCTCCTCCCTCAGTCAGTTAGTGTTCTGTCTTTTGTTATGACTCCATGATGGCCACATATAAGCTTGTACTCACAATGGCTTTGCTTGCCATTGGTAATAAACTTATTTCTTTATTCTTTCAGTCTGCAGTCTCAACACACACACACACACGTACCTCCGTTTACAAACTTAATTCGTTCCGGAGGTCCGTTTTTAACCTGAGGCGCGCTTTCACTAATGGGGCCTCCTGCTGCCGTGCGACTTTCGCTCGCATCCCGGGGCAAAGTTTGCTACCCGGAACACCTACTTCCGGGTTAGCAGAGTTCATTACCTGAAGCGTTAGTAAGGAGGACAGTATGTAGCCCAAGGTTCCACTGTGTATGTGTGTGTGTGTGTGTGTGTGTGTATACACACACACATACACACCAAATGCCAACAAATACATGGTCTGAATCTAGCAGTTCTAGTATCATGCTGTGGTACTATATTGTTTTAGTTTTGTAGCACTTAGATGTTTTGATTATTGTTGTGCACAGCCCTTGACTGCTTTTGGAAGAAGTGTTGTATCCAGTGCTTTTATTCTAAAAAAATATGTTTAGGGGTACTCTCATCTTCCTACTCATATTGAAATATTGCCCCTCAGTGAGGCCAAACTTAGATTCATAAATGTTTAGGCGTATGTGTACCCCTGTGTACCCCCAGAAAAAAGCACTGGTTGTACACCACCACCACCACCATCATCATTTGTACCCAGCACATCCTTCCATGCACACAATGGACTGAGCATCCTCTTCCTCTCCAGTTGTATCTGGAGAAGGTATCACAAATTATGCACATCACCACAAATCCCCTGTATCAGTGATTGGTGACATGCAAAACTCCGAGGAGCACTAGCAGCAAAGGAAATATAGGGCAACCAATTTTCCGTAAGCAAAGAAACGCTAAAGACAAAAAACATTTCTAGGAACAAAATGGACACATCCACTAACACATCACATATCAAGCCTGCAAGTCAAAAGGATGAGATACAAATAATAGTGAGCCTTTATGACAATCAGCCTGTCCTCAGAGTTCCATTTTCTGCTCTTGCTGTGTTTCTTCTTCTTCAATGAAATGCACAGAATATAAAATGTATAAAAGTTGTCATTTTAAATAGTCAATGTTACAGAGATTTAAGCTAAGAATAAGTACTGGCATCAAGTTAGCCTGAGATTTTCTATCCAAATTGATTGATCGCAGGCATGAATCTAAGGGAATGCGTGAGCATGATATTAACTCCTAATCATAAGGATTGATTCCTGTGTATTAAAGGTGAAGGGAATTCATATATCCGGCATCATCAGACATGTAAAACTGGGTGGTTCTTTTCTCCACTAGATGGCAGGGTATTACTTGCTATAGTAATAATAATAATGAAAAAATTTAGAAAAGCAACCACAAATAGTTCTGCAAAATAAATTGATATTTTTCTAACCCAAGGCATTATTTATTTACATCTAAATGAAAGCAGAAATATTGTGAAATGAATAAAAGCAAGAGGCAATGGCATCCAGTTTGGAGAAAGACGAAAGAAAGGCAGAACAAAGTATTCCTTCTCCCTCACAGAGTTCCCTGTGAAGAAGGATTGATTGTTAAACCTCTCTGGGTGGGAATGTTAGCTCTGAGGAGAGAATAGGGATCTGCTAGCAACTCTCAGCACCTCAAACAAACTACAGCTCCCAGGATTCTTTGCGGGAAGCCATGACTGGGTGGCCATCTGTCATGGATGCTTTAGCTGAGATTCCTGCATGGCAAGGGGTTGGACCAGATGACACTATGATTGTTTAAAGTGGTACTGTAGTGCTTTATATTTATGGTGTGAATGCAGCCAAGGTAGGAGAGCAGCAATCCCTTCAGTGACGCGCATGGCCAGAAGTCAAAGATGGGTGCAGCCAGATGCAAGCATGGGCAGGGCAATGGATGCAACTTTCTTGCCATTCAAAAGTCAGAGGTTTCTACAAACACAAACACACAGATCCATCCTCCATCCACAAAAACTAGAAGCAGATCAAATTTGAGGGCACATTCCAGCCAGCCAAAAGTGTTCATAGAGGACTTGGAGCAAAGTTGGTCAGAGGTTTGGCCCGGTGACGGGGGTGGGGGCAGATCTCTAGTGAGCACTGCAAGGTGCCGGAGGCCAGAGTGGGGGCACATTAAGTCCCTGGTCCTTAGATTTCCCTCCCCCCATTGATGAAGTACTTGTGAAACTGAGAAGCATAGCGCTAAGGTGAATCTGAAGGAGTATACGTGAAGGAGCGTCTCCACCCCCATCGTTCAGCCCAGACACTGAGGTCCAGAGACACCTTCTGGTGGTTCCCTCACCGCGAGAAGTGAGGTTACAGGGAACCAGGCAGAGGGCTTTCTAGGTAGTGGCGCCCGCCCTGTTGAAGGCCCTCCCATCAGATGTCAGGGAAATAAACAACTATCTGACTTTTAGAAGACATCTGAAGGCAGCCCTGTTTAGGGAAGTTTTTAATGTTTGATGTTTTATCATGTTTAATATTCTGTTGGGAGCTGCCCAGAGTGGTGGGAAACCCAGCCAGATGGGTGGGGTATAAATTTATTATTATTATTATTATTATTATTATTATTATTATTATTATTCAGAGTGATTACACAAGCACTAAGGTTGCAGGTTCAATCCCCATACAAGACAGCTGGCTATTCCTGCATTATAGGGGGCTGGACTAGATGATCCTCAGGGTCCCTTCCAATCCTACAATTGTATAGTCTAGGATTACATGATTCCACCGCTAAACATACTCTGCGTTCCAGAAAACATAGAGCTAGAAGAAGGATTTTGTGAGGCTCTATGCGGACATCATCACCCAAGGTGCAGACACACTCCTTGTATAAAGAGGGAGACTGGTAGTTTTGAGCAGGCATAGGCAAATTCGGCCCTCCAGATGTTTTGGGACTACAACTCCCATCATCCCTAGCTAACAGGACCAGTGGTCAGGGATGATGGGAGTTGTAGTCCCAAAACATCTGGAGGGCCGAATTTGCCTAGGCCTGGTTTTGAGTTCTGGTAGACATTCCTGTGCAGTGTATTTGTAACTACAGGTTACCATCTCTGTTGCTACAATCTCAAAGGTCTGGATGTTTCCATGAGGGCTAGTAGTGCTGCTGTATTCTCTGCACCAAACCATCTGGAGGATGGAAAGCCCTCCTGATCATACCATGTAACCAGCGTGAGCAGCCATCTTGGATGTGCTTATGGGCTTCTGCATTGGTTTATTGGCATGAGTCTTCCAAAACAACAGCTGCAGGGGCAACGAAAAAAGACACCCGAGATTCACACTTGTAGCAAAAGGTCCAGAAAGGGCCATGGGGGAGTTATTGTTACTTGTACAGTGTGAGAAGTTGAACAATAGTATACATGCCAAATAAAACTATGACAACTGGAAGTGAGGGGGGGGGATAGTACATAACTGGTTGGATACAGACTAAAGTCACTGCCAGATAACCTTACTGAATGTTCATTCTTGTTTGTTTGCCTGAAGTTGCTGTTCAGCAACGTTGGCTGTTATTTATGGATCATTTGTGCTGATCTGCTTGTGGAGAGGGTAGACAACATTGCATCAGGTGTTCCCTCGCACTTTCAAGCACATTTCCCCATCCAGTATGGGCATAACTGTCAACTTTTCCCTTTTCTTCTGAGGAATCCTATTCGGAATAAGGGGATTTCCCTTAAGAAAAGGGAAATGTTGACAGCTATGAGTATGGGAGGGGGAAGCGGGTTTGTTGTGTAAGAGCTTTAAATCTACCTTAATTGCGCAACCTGGATTTGTCAATCGGTAATTAAATCCTAATTTTGTTGAACCTGCATTGGTCATTACTTACGTCCCATTGATTTCATTGGAGAACAAGTGCAATCCCAACCATGTTTACTCGGAAGTAAGTCCTCCTGGGTTCGGTGGCACTTCAGTGGGCTTAGGTCAGACTGCAGCTTTTGTCGGGATCCAACCCAATATAAGATGGTACTTGTCTTAAACGTTCAGTATGGAGAAGGATTGAGTTGTACAAATCCTTTCCCTCACCCCACCCCAAAAAAGCCCTCAAAGTTCTGACAGAATTTTTAAAAACACACAGAAGCAGTGGTACTACTGCTCCACAGTCGCCATCCCATAACAGGATGGGAAAAAATCTAATTGTTGTTAATATGGTATAAAATTATGTGCCATTAAGTTACCATTAAATCAATTACATTCTCTTTCCTAAACTCTGAATATAATGGATTTGGATATTCACAGGCTGTAGGTTAATTGGAACCTGCCGTGTATAAAGGATAAGCCACGGCTTTCCGGATATATTTACTGCATTATCATTCTATGTGTGTAAATAATTCAATCTGTTTCCTGTAGGCCCCATCATCCTAGCACTTACTTTTCCTGATATTTTCTCCGACAGGTTTATATTACCTTTTTTTTTTACTCAATTTCACTGTGCTGAAAATGCTTGACTACACAGACTTCCTCTCATTTCAAACAGCCGTATATTAAATGGGGTTAACTGATGACTGCTCGTCATCTCCTGAGGATACAGGATTAGGAGATTTTGTTACAGATAATTAAAGAGGATGTTTGTGCCATCTTCAGCTAAAAATACCTACAGCCTGGATTCTCAGGTTGCAACCAAGTTTGGGTCAACACTTCCATGTTAGCTTAATCTATAGATTATACATTATTATATTCACTGGCAAAAACCATACATCATACTTAATACATTCTTCAATACATAATTTGTTTTTCCATAACTAATTAAATAGTGGGGAGCCCGATTCTCACTAGAGGTGCAAGTACTTAATTTCAGACCCTGGACGTAATGATCTTGTTGTTGTTGTTGTTTAGTCGTTTAGTCGTGTCCGACTGTTCGTGACCCCATGGACCAGAGCACGCCAGGCACCTCTGTCCTCCACTACCTCCCGCAGTTTGGTCAAACTCATGCTGGTAACCTCGAAAACACTATCCAACCATCTCGTCCTCTGTCGCCCCCTTCTCCTTGTGCCCTCCATCTTTCCCAGCATCAGTGTCTTCTCCAGGGAGTCTTCTCTTCTCATGAGGTGGCCAAAGTACTGGAGCCTCAGCTTCACGATCTGTCCTTCCAGTGAGCACTCAGGGCTGATTTCCTTCAGAATGGATGCGTTTGATCTTCTTGCAGTCCATGGGACTCTCAAGAGTCTTCTCCAGCACCATAATTCAAAAGCACCAATTCTTCAGCGATCAGCCTTCTTTATGGTCCGGCTCTCACTTCCATACATCACTACTGGGAAAACCATGATCTTAGGAGTCTATAAACCATGTTGCAGCCTGAGGCCATCAAAGTGATGCAAAACAAGATAAAAACAAAATGCAGGTAATGACCGATTGACATGCGTTTGATATGTGCGCAACTGTGCACATCGTGGTGACCTGGAAGTAGCTAGAAAAGGGGGGGAACTGGGGGTGGGAGTAGGGTAGACCAGGCTTATACACCTTCCCCATCACATACAATGACCTAGAATGCAACCCCCACACAAATCAGGGGTTGCCTGTACAGAAAACACAATTTCTAAAAACAATCAAACCCATTTCAACAAACTCTAAAAACAACAAACCAATTCATACAAATGTTCAGTTAGTATTTCCTAATATTTCACACTTCGGGACAGCCTTCTTAAGCAAAATCAACTTCTGCAGTAGGTGCCTATTTCAGAGGACTGGAACTGCCAACAATAAAAGCAGGATCTCTAGTGGGAAATTTAGAGACACCCCTTGTTATAGCCTAAACAATCCCTTCATACCTCAGATTCAAGGCCAGAGCTAAGAGACATTTAGTTTCAGAGTTCAAAAGTGTTATTTTAAGGCTGCATAGTCCTAATCTATATACTGTTAAAGAAACTGCAAATCAAACAACACATAATGTTCCGTTTTCAGAGACTCCAAGATTAATCTATCGGTCCTTTAAATGGAAATAATACCAGCTTAAAACTATGTATTAGTGGTTTACTTATTATAAAGTTTGGGGTTTTTTATCGCATGTTGCAATTTAAGTGGCGCCCAAGGCTCCTACGAATGAAGGTTTAATATCAACAATTAACATTGAGCTAGAAAGTGACATTGAAAGCTGAAGCCAAACAGCAATATCCACCATAAAAGTAAGCAATAAAATGAGTGAAATAGCAAACGCAGGAGTCAATTGTACATCACTGATTAAAAGCTTGAGAGAATAAAATTGCCTTCAATCTGTGCTCAAAAGGTCACGTGCTAGGTGGCAGCCAAGATCCCTGGAGAACCTATTCCACAACTGAGGAGTCACCACCAAAAAGGCCCTGCCTTCGTGGGGTCACACCCATCACATCTGAAGATATTGACACGGGATGCACATGCTGTTAATAACATAGAATGACCTACCTCTTCCCACCTGTACTGTAGATCCTGTGCCACATGGTGATTCCCTATAGCAACGGAGGGTCCAAATCCCTTGTTTGTCAACCTGAAAACAGCAATATGTCCTAATCAGTTTACGGCAGAGATGGAGAAATTGTGGTCCTCCAGATACTGTTGGACTATACTTTCCAACATCCCTGACCATCATCCCTGCTGTCTGGGGTTGATGGGAGACGGGGTCAGCAATGTCTGGAGGCACACAGGTTCGTTCCCTTCTTCTGTTTTTCTACTTTGGCAATGGGTAGCTCCAATCTTGCCAGCCTCACTGATTTCAGAGGTATAGAATTAGGTACAAGATGGAGTCCAACGTAGGATTAAGCCCGGTCACTATATGCCATATCATCATCATCATCATCATCATTAAAACCCAAAAAAGTCCACACCAGGTCATGAACAATAAAACTGTAGGAATATTGTCTGTGTCTTTAGCTTGCCTTTTAACAAAACCTGTGGGAGAGGCTTAAAAGGGATCACTATACCAGGTATTTAAACCTACTGATTGTCTGCAAAATCTCTCTTTATGCCACTGGAAGGGGGAAGCAGGCCAAGTGGAACATTTTGTTAATCGGGTATGTTAAAGTTTATATACTCTTGCAATTCAAGGGACACTGTACTACATTGCTGAGATTTATACATTTATTTACAGTAACTTCAAATGTCCTACAGGCTGCGTTATCAATCAGAGTTGTGGACAAACTATTTCTTTATTGGCAGTGCCTCACTATTGGGCGAAAGTTAATTTGGAATATTAGTCACTCATGTTGGAATTCAGAAAATATCAAGGAAGCTTGGAAATGAAGGAGATCATTAAAGTTCCTACCTATCTGCACTCTTTCCCTGATCCTCCTTTCCCTCTGACTCCTTTGCTTTTAGAACACATACATTAATTCTACCTTTGTCTGCGTACAGAAACAAAAGACACCCTAACAACTCCCATTGGATGAGATGCAGAGCCATGCAGGCGAATGGCTCAGATCACGACGCTGCTCGATGATGTAGGGCTCCTTCCATCCGGAAGCATGCCTGTGATCTCACAAAAGCCGGCTCATGACAAGCAACCCAAAGGAAGATCCATGCGTGACCTCACAAAGGACAGCTAGGAGAACAGAAATTCCAGGCACTTGTTACTCTAGGCAACTCCAAAGCCTTTTGCTGCACCTTTTCCCCTTCCGGATACAGAAGCCAATCAGATTGGCAATTGAATCTCCACTCAACACGGACAACTGGACATCCTTCTCTACTGTATTCTCTAATCCTGAACCATCCCTTTTATATTACTGATCACCAAGAGGTGCTTAATACGCTTGACTGAAGTACACTATAAAGATTCACCCTTAAGAAGCAGCTCCGAAGTGACCTCTCCGGGGTGCAAGCCTGGGCAGTCTGTATGGAAGTACTAGGCTGCCCAGGTGACAAGACCCCCTTCTTGGCCTTGCCGATGTGATCCAAAGGAAAGCAGAGCAATATGTTTGGCACCAGCTTGGCTGCAGGAGTTGCAGGAAGGAGGTGTACAAGACACCATCCAACAGTCTTAGGGACTCCACTCCAGATTTGTGTAGGGTCTACTCCCTACTCTTTTCTTCTCCCAAAGATATCCTGCAAGGCAGAAGAGGTTCAGGACCAGAATTTCCCTTCTCTTAGATGAGCTCCCTTTCCAGGTTGACAAGCCCCATCTGCTTCTCACTTCCCCCCATAAGAGCCAGTTCCTTGGGGCTTCACACCCCCCTTAAATATTTGAGGGGTCTGGGAGCTCCCAAAGTTGATGGGTATTGCCATTCAAATGGTGTGCATGCACCATGTGTTGTGATCAATTATGTGGGGCGGGGCTTACCTGGGTCCCCCCAATATTTTATTCAACTTGGCAGGCACCCTTGCTTCCCTCTACAGCACATGCAGAAACCCTTCTTGATCATTGGACCTATTCTTGGTCTCATTTGCTCGATCCACCAGAGCCTGTCTTCACATGCAGGGGAAGCAGCCCAGTCAGGACTTGAGAAAAACATTCTGCACATCCCCAGAGTCTGTCTCTCTTTTCTGCTTTAAGTGCAGAGCCCTGGCATTTGAAATCAGCCTCTGGAGCTGAGTCCAGTTAAACCCTGGCTCAGATTAACTCCACAGACACATATAAGAAAAAGCACATATAGGGTTTTGGAACATACAGTATTCCCAAATATCGGTTTCCTCTCTCTTCATTGTTTATTTGGCTTCAGACCAGGTTGGAATTTCACAAAAACAGAGCCAGAGAACCGTGGGCGGAAGGGAAATAGCTTGCTAGCACTCTTGTGCAAGAGCTTAAACGAGAGTCCAGCCCTGCAGTTGCTACACAGATACGGTTAGGTACTCTGGGAATGTGGTCTGTCTGAAACCTTGGAGAGTCGCTGCCAGACAATGCAGACAATCTGGGTCTGACTTGGCAGCTTCCAATGTACGTTGTTGAGTTTAACTTTTCTCATGCAACATTCTAGCACAGATGCACTTTGAACTCCAGCGCCCATCATCCCCAGCCAGCAAGGCCAAGGGTAAGAGAGGATGGAAATTGTAGCTCTGCGACATTTGGAGGGCCACAGGTGCCCCATCCCCAATCTAATAAACCAGCCCTTTTACACATGGATGGGGACTTGGGGACAATCGAGAGACTGACATTCTGTTTAGGAGCTCCAAGGAAGAACAGCCTTTGAAGACCAGTGCAATTTCTGTGGAAGCATATCAGACAATTCATGGTTTCTTCCATACACGGAGACACTTGCCTCACTAAGCTCCTGCTATTTATGCTTTTAATGTCCTTGTGGGAGTCTTCTTTTCTTTTCTTTTTGTTTTTTTGTCCAAGCTGTAAACCAGCAGATGATTGAATACACAGGAAATTTGCCATATCTTTTTCACAGATGCTGTCAGATGGGTGAAACAAGGAAATGGAAGGAAGCACAGATCGAAGGATTATCACTCTGTGATTCTACAAGCGTTTGGTACGATTCAATGGCCACTTATATTGATGTAGATCCATTAGCAGAGTCAGTGAATTGCTCCCTTGTGCGAGATTTGCCGGCTCTGTGGATGCTGTGCAGAGACGATTCAACAATCAGCTGTAAGGCTGGTGGTGCATAAGTTGTATGTGACCACTTTGCTAGTGATGGAAAAGACAACACTCCGATTCCATAGCTTATCTCAGCAAAGAAAGGGGTACTTTTTATTACTGACAATTTATCGTTTCCCAATGTTTGGATTTGAACAGAGGTATTTCCTTTGGATCTCAGAATTCAGAATGCAATGGTGTCCTCTTAATAAACACAAAGGGACAATTGACAAATCTTAAAAGCTTAACATTTCCATGAACAGGAAACAGAATCAAAGTTCAGCTTTTATGAACTACTCTGGTGCCGACACATATTATTATTATTTTGTTAATAGCCTTCAACACTGAGAAACAGGAAATTGAGAACAGAATGACCGCTTTTAAAAGATCAGGAATTTCCCCACCTTGGTTGGTTGGTTGATTGATTGATTGACTGATTGATGCTTTTAAAAGAAAATCTATGTGCTATTTTACCACACCATACATTCATTAGTTTCCTTAATATGCAGATGCTACCTCACTAAGGGGCTAGCAAATGTTCTAGTCATACAAAGACACTTAAAAACTGACCTAAAAGTGCTTCCAGGCTTCTTTTTAAAAACAAAAAAAACATGAATTTTCTACTAATAACTGGGCTCCTTCTCTCTCCCCCCCCCCCATCTCTCTTTCTCTGAGTTAGTGTTTCCCTTCTTCTTCTTTGGCGATCACTCATAGCCAAGTAAGATTGCCTTCCATAAACATGGTTTTAACAGTGAGCCCGCAAGTGACTGTGGAGGCCAATTCTGGACCCACACGTCCTTCCACAGTGGGGACATAGGTTTCCAGGCGGAAGTTGATCGTGGTGAGGGTTTGCCAAGCATGCATTCCTCTTAGTGAGTTTCTCCTTTTTGTCCTGAGTTCGAGTGTCTTCAAAGCCCATGACACCTTTGGTAAAGGATGTTCTTCTTTTTTAAAAAAAAACAACATAATTTTTATTAACAGGCCAATCCAATCACATTATTTCCAAATCATATTACTTCCAAATTATACAGCCAGATTTTTAAATTTTGTTGGGGGTACCCTTACATCAAGCTCCGAACGAGAATCAAAACATCACTTCTGTTACTGCTTTTATCAAACGGTTCTATCCAGATCTGTCCAGATAGTCTCTTTATTACTTCTTCATCTTCTTGTTGTTATCATGTATTCCTTTCTTTGCAATCTCTGATAGTCTTCACAAGCAGGTTAGGAACAAACAACATCTGCATGGGTTTTGCACACTCCAAAAGTCATATCTCATAAGGACAGCCGCCATTCCTCCCCTTCTTTGAAAATTTATCCTCGGTCTGTCCTATTAATTTTCCCAAGCTTGCCACGTATATCACAAAGGGGCTCTGCCAGGTTATCACATTCAATGTATCATTTACATTCCAATGACCCTGGTCCTCCTCCCCTCGTCTTTCTTCGACAAGCCTGTCTTAGCAAGACACCATTAAAAACTGCGTCATAGAATTTTTCCTCCGCACTCCATATTTACCAGTCCTCTCTTCAATCAATAATTCGCTCCACACAGCTCTTAAATTCTTGCTTGTGATTAGTAAAAGGCGATGATTCGTCTCTCTGGGATGGAGGTTTATAAATACTCACATGAGGCAAAGAAAATAAAAGTTTTTTCCTCCACCACCCCTCTTTTTTCGCTCCGCACATACCAGTCTCGTAATGGTGGACATCGCTTGATTTATTTGTCTCCTCCCGTCGCTCCAAACACAGAGATGAATTAATCAGCAGCCTTATCTCTCGAACTTTGCTTGATGTAAGTGCTTCAGCTTCATTCCAATTATATATTTCCAATTATATTTTCGAGCTGAAGCGAACCAGGGCGCTGATTGGAGACAGCGTCAGGAAGCGCCGAACCCATTGAGGGCTGATGCCAAATGTCCTGCACCCCCTTCTTTCGAATCCGGGGGTGCATTATGGACGTCGCTGGCAAGGCTGTC